TTTGAAGTTTACAAAGGATGTAGGTGGGTGATATTTTTTGTAGGGATTATCTAACAGATTTACTGTCCTTGTGTAAACAGGAAGTAAGAACATATCATTCAAACAGTTGTTTAACTCCTAGCAAAACTCACACACACACACACACACACACACACACACACACACACACACAAAATTCCAACACTATCCACTGGTAAAATAAGCCAAAATAATGGAAAATATTAAACACTAATGAAATAGATTTCAAATTGTCTTATCTTCTTTTATTTCTACTTATTCTTGATATTTTCTTCTGGTAAATGTTGCCCTCATAGTTGATTACCAGGTGCACCCATGTTATTACTATACTTTGTTACAGTTAACTGACCATTTCCATGTGAAGATTAGTTTGGGGGCCACATGTGGCATATGTTAATCTGTAGCAGCTTTTCCAAGGATGTTGAATTATGAGTTTAGCAGAGATCTTTTGAAGCCTAATTTCATCCAGCCTCACAATTTGCCAAACTGTAGTCTTTCTTCCTCTAGCAAGTGAGTAGTCTGCTAGTTTTTACCCATCAATCCTTAATCCCCAATGCTTTAAAGATTTTCCTTTGGTCTTAATTTTTCAAAGTTTTATTTTTCCTTTTTAATTATATTTCTAATGTGATTTTTCCTTATATTTATCCCAGTCAGGTTTTAGGGTTCCTTGACTCTGAAGCCTGATATCTTTTGACAGTTTTGGAAAATTCTCAGCCAGTGTCTATTCAAATATGATTACTGCCTGTTGTCTTTCTCCTCCCATCCAGGACTCCAGTGATATTTCTTACTGGAACATTTTACTACTTTTTTTGTGTGCATATCTTCTGTCATTTTCGCTCTCTGAGTAATCTCAAAATCTTCTACTAACTATTTTAGAGTTCACTAGTCCTACTTCCTAATATGAAAGCCATCTACAACATTTTTAATTTCTGTGATTATATGTTTAGTTCTTAAAATTCCTTTCATTTTTAATTTCTATCTCTGTCACTTATTTTCTTAAATATTTTAATGCCAACCTACATCTAATTTCTTCTGTAACCAGGTAATCTGTAGATCTGTTGAGTCAATTTTCCTATCTTTGGAATCTGTTTCTCACAGCAGTTAGTAATTTTTAATTGAATAATTAGCATTATGTATGGAAAAAAAATTAGGAGCTCTGAATGGTGCTATATTCTTCCAGAAAATTCTTCTCCTGACAAATGAATGTAATGAGACCTCTGCTTCTAGGACTCTGACAAGTTCTGGTTCTCTTTAATGGAATTTGATCTTCTAAGAATCCCAAAGGTGAACCTGGAATCTTTATTAATCTATGTTTTGTGTACTTTCTGATTAACATCTTCCACTTTTCACTTAAATAATTTAAGAATTTAGATAACATCTGAAGGGGAAATCACTAATACTGGGATATCCTTGTCACACTTTCCAAGATCTTGAACCTTAAGTCCTAATGGTTTCAAAGTCCTACATTCAAAGTTTTGCCCGTCCATCCCTTTCAGATTGCCAGAAGCTCT